AAAAAAAAATATATATATATATATATATATATATATCTTACAAAAGATCCTGCGAAATGGCAGATTTGAGTGAGAGAACCAGGAGCAATGAAGACTGAGTTTTACCAGTGGTGTAGTTTCTGGATTCACAGACTATCTAGCACTAAATATTCATAAGACATTTCCTAAGGCAGCCTTCTTTATTTTGGTCAGCTGTACTAAAATTAGCTCAAGAAGAGAAGGAAAAATAAAGCAAAACACAAGGCCTTGGAAAATACTGGTGAGAGGTTTTTTTTTTTGTTTTTTTTTTTTTAGACAAATTTATCTATATAGAAAATTTGTGAAAAAAGGACAATTCAGTTAAATTTCTCTATTTTAAGCATACTTTATGTACTTACAAGTCACTGTATCAGAAGTTAAGGGGGAAAGAAATTATTAAGAGGATGACTATAAGATAATAAAGTGTATCTATTCATGACTGTAAGTTAAAGTAGCATGAATATGAAATGAGAAATAGCAAATCAAAAGCTTTATTGTTTCAAGAGGAAGTGAGGAATTATTGTGGTTGAAATACACAGAAAGGGGAGGTAGGAATGATTTGAGATGGATATTGATCCAACGAAAAAGCAGGACTCCACTAGGACTGTGTATAATGGCCAATGACTGCATAATTCATGTCTAAGCTAAGTACATAATTTTTGCTGTATAAGATATAAGTAACATAATTCACAGTTATTGAAAACTGCTATGATCTAAGCTCCTTTAAATCAGTATCCCTCAGGGAGAATATCCATTGTTACTATTTTTTAATCAGAAGGAAAAACCAAAAGGGAGCCAACATGCAAAAGCAGGTTGAGTTGCTCAAGCTCCGAACCTGAATGATAGTATGATGATGATGGTGATTGCCATTATTTTGTATTTTGCATAAGTGGAGGCACAGCTGTAATGACTACTTCAACAACTTTAATTTCTACGCATTAAGACAAAGCCCCATTGTTTCTGAAAGTGGACATGCCTTACATGTTTTCACAAAGGAAGAGCTGAGAGCACAGGGTAGTAAGAGCTGTAGGCACTAACCAGGGATCTTGAGGAGATGTGGCCTTACACAGGTAGATGAAGTTCCTAATGACAATCTAAGGTATTGTATAAATCTATCCTAACCTGCAGTTAGAAGAACCATTGGCATCCATGGCTTGAATTATGGAAGCACCATAAAAAATCCTTTATTCAAAACTGTCTCACAAATTCCCTCCCATCCTAACTCTCTGGTGACCTCTAAAGAGCCTGAAATTTTGCCACTGAAGGTTCATCATTCATATTCAATATCATCTTCTTCTTGTATCTATTTGAATTATCCTTCAATGATAACTTCTTCCACTAATACTTAATTATTCAGTTGAATGATAATACTGCTCATGATTCAGCCATACTGGGAGAACTAATATAAGCAATGATGAAATTTGAAGGGTTAGAGGAATTCATGAAGGAGAATAAATTAAAGGGCAAGATGTAATGCAAGAATGCATTGAAGGGCAAGGTTCTTCTCCCACACCACAATGCCACTTCTTGTGGTCAAAGGACAAATGATTGAAATACTAAAGCAAAAGAAATAAATTTTCTGAGTCTTCACCTCCTTTCAAATCAAATCAGTCTTGCTTTGTTTCTCATAGATTTATTGTATTTCTTTGTCTTCTCTTATCTCTGCCTCTTTACTAGGGTGTTATGTGGCTATTCTAAGCTAACAAAATGATTTCAGTTCATGGTAGAAATAGCTCTTAGAAAGATAGGTATGATAGTGAAATTGGGACTTTTTCATTTTACAAATAAAGAAACAGAAGCCCCAAGTGTTAAATGATTTACTCAAGATTACAGAACCATTTGGTTTCAAACCACTCAGCGAATCAGATCTATATGAGTAGAAAATTGACTTACTAGACCCTGGAGCTCTGGTGACATAGTGGATAAGGCACTTGACTGCTCACCAGAAGATCAGCAGTTAAAACCTACCAGCTGCTCTGTGGAAGGAGGGTGATCTATTTTTGTAAAGATTTACACTCTCAGAAACCCAATGGGGTTGCTGTGAGTTGGAAAGGACTTGATGGCAGTGAGTTTGGTTTTGATTGGAGCCTAAGAAAATCAGCAGCAAAACAGGACCATTATGTAAGGCTCAGGGTGTTATAATTTGGCTCCTCTACTATACCACACCACACCACACCACATCCAGACTGCAAAAACCTTCACATAAGTAAGTATGCATAAACACATGCGCGTGAGGATCCAACTTCCGTAAATAGGAGAACACCCTGAAGTCACTTAGGCTCTACTACTTTAGCTTATGAGTGAATAAAATATACAGGCATGCCCATAATCACAAGAGAAAGTATAGGCTTAGATCTTCATCAATATGTCAAACAAAACCTTCTCCAGACATACAAATGTTACTATGTCCCTAAACACAGATCAACCAGTGACCATAGTGTTGATTCCAAATTATACTGAATGCCTAAGGCATTTGACGGCTAACCAGCAGGCTGGTGGTTGAAACCCACCAGTCCCTCCTTGGAAGCAAGACTGGACGATCTACTTCCATAGTGATACTGCCTTGAAAACCCAACAAGGGGTCTGTCTCTATGAGTCAGAATCAACTGCAATGAGTTTGGTTTTTAGTAGGAAGCACAAGGTAGGATGCCCTTGTGTTGCATTTTTGTTGTATGTGAATCAGAGTATGATTGTGCTTCATAGGACTTTTTGGTATTGTTTTGTTTTTATTTTATTTATTTTGTCATTGTTGTTAGGAATATACACAGCAAAACATACATTAATCCAACACTTTCTGTATGTACAATTCAGTGACACTGATTGTATTTTTCGAGTTGTACATCTAGTCTCACCTTCCTTTCCCGAGTTGTTCCTCCCCCATTAACATAAACTCACTGGTCCCTAAGCTTTCTGTCTAACCTTTTGAGTTGTTGTCGTCAATTTGATCACATACTTATTAAAATAATGTTATGCTTAAGGCAAATATTTTCTTTAAGGAGTTTTAGTAGCTGAACTTTTGAAAGTAGATTGGTACACCTTTCTTGAACTTGCTCCTAGAGTGGACATGAATCTGCAAACTTTTGTAACCTTTTGTTTAGCATTGAAAGTGTTACCTCTTTGCACCACAAACACAGAAGTTGTTTCAAAATTAGGCTTAGTACTCATACAAAATTAGAACTAAGCAAATGTGTAAAAGCAAACTAAAAAATCTTAAAAAAAAAAACAGAAAGGGAAATGGAAGCACCATAAAAAATCCTTTATTCAAATGGAACTCTTGGTGTGATGAGTAATTTAGAAGTTTAGCTCAATACCTCTGGATTTAGTATCCTCATGTGAAGTAATAAATGGACCATTGTATGAAGGATGATGGACAGAATGTATACTTTTCAATTTCTCTGACTATACATGCCATGCAACAGTAACTATCTACTTTCTATAATTGACTTCTGTGATGATCTATTTATTTCAACAACAGAAATAATGCTATTGGTACTTTTATTTATTTTTTTTTTTTTTCAGACAATTTAATAGTCTCAGGAACTTGGCCACCTGGAGTAATTCCATGGAAAAAGTAAACAATGTAACTGTGTTCATTTTAAGGGGCCTTTCTCAGAACCCAAAGGTGGAAGAAGTTTGTTTTGTGTTTTTTTCTCTCTTCTACTTGGCTATTCTTCTGGGAAACCTTCTCATCATTCTCACGGTGCGCATGGGGAATCTTCTCAAATATCCTATGTATTTCTTTCTGAACTATTTGTCTTCTGTGGACATATGTTACTCCTCAGTTATAGCTCCCAAGATGATTGTTGACCTATTAGCTAAGCATAAAACTATCTCTTATGCAGGGTGCATGTTGCAACTCTTTGGGGTACATTTCTTTGGTCCCACTGAGGTCTTCATCCTTATTATAATGGCCTATGATCGGTATGTGGCCATCTGTAAACCATTACACTATATGATCATCATGGACCAGAATAGATGCAATAAAATAATGCTGGGCGCCTGGGTAGGTGGGTTTTTACACTCTGTTATCCAGATGGCTTTGGTGGTCCAGCTCCCCTTTTGTGGACCCAATGTGATTGATCACTACTTTTGTGATGTCCACCCTGTGCTGAAACTGGCCTGCACAGACACGTATGTTGTTGGTGTTGTTGAGACAGCCAACAGTGGGACCATCGCTCTTGGGGCCTTTGTAATCTTGTTAATCTCTTATACTTTTATTCTGATATCCTTGAGAAAGCAGTCAGCAGAAGGCAGACGCAAGGCTCTCTCCACTTGTGGCTCCCACATTGCTGTGGTCATCATGTTTTTTGGTCCCTGTACTTTCATGTACATGCGCCCTGATGTTACCTTTGCTGCGGATAAAATGGTGGCTGTATTTTACACTATTATCACTCCCATGTTGAATCCCCTGATTTATACACTGAGAAACGCAGAAGTAAAGAAAGCAATGAAGAAACTGGGGCATAGGAAGGTTTTTTGAGAGGCTGATGACAATTAATTTAAAGTAATGATATTTTTAGCTGGAGCATTTTAATTATTTCTGTCTTTTTTTAAGGCATCTGTACAATGAAGATAGTAAGATAGTAATAAGGACCTTGCTGCGTAGTTGCAAGAAACACATGGTGTTTTTTTTCCTTTCCACTCTTGACTATTTTCTTGGAAAAGTGAAAGTATATTTATAATTTAGAACTGTGATTGGTACATATTAAGCACTCTATCATATGGTGTATGTAAATAAATAAGGAGCTCTGTTAGCACAGTGCCTAAGGCATCTGACTGCTAATCAGAAGGTTGGTGGTTCAAACCCACCAGCCACTCCACAGAAGCAAGACTGAACATAAAGTCCTCCATAAAGATTTATCACCTTGGAAACCAAATAGGGGTTGCTATGAGTCAGAATCAACTCGATGGCAGTGTTTTTTTTTTTTTTAATGTAATTAATTGTACATGAATAGTAAAAAGGATGCAATGATAAGTGTAATGATATAAGTCCTCCCAAACACAGATTTTTATGAAAACTACACCTAGGAAGTATGAAATGACAGGGGAAAGGTGTGTAGAATTAAAGGAAAAAAAAGTTAAAACAGAAGCTAAAATGACAAAATTCATGTTCTCATTCTTCAGTCCTGGAGGAAAAAAAGAAAAAGAAAAAACAAAGTTTCTTTTCTATAGGACTTATTTCCTTTGCCCAAACGATAAAGATATTGGACAAGTTGACTATTTTTTATTTATATTGTTGTTCTTCTTGTTATGTGCTGTTGAGTCAGACCTGACTCATAGTGACCCCTCTGTCGGTTTCTGAGGCAGTATCACTATGGAAGTAGATTGCCCAACCTTCCTTCTCAGGAGTGACTAGTGGGTTTGAACTGCCAGCCTTCTGGTTAGCAGTCAAGTGCTTTAGGCACTATGCTACCAGAGCTCCTTTATTTATATTAGTCTATGATTATGCTGTTGTTAACTGAATATAATCTATATCTGGAATCTATAGCCACAATCTCTGTTCACATGCAAAAACTAACAGAACAAGGTGAAGAAACACAATGAAAACAAGACACTTGTGATAAATAGGTGAAAATCTCTCTCTTTGGGAGAAACTAAATAGGCTATATGTCATAATAAACAAATTTAATCCATTGGCGGAGAATGAGCCCTACTTACGCATCAACAACAAGGTTCTAAAAATATTTAGACACTTGTCCACACAAGTGGACATTTCTAGACATCTCTGTCACTTACACCTTCCTGAATTGTAAACACCAAAACCAAAACAACATCAAAATCAGACCCTGACTTGTTCTTCTGTTGTCTTGTTTCCTTTTCAATATAATTTATCATGTTTCCTCCTCTTGGGATCTTAAGCACCCTGATATTTTTAATCAGGGTCCATCTGGAAGTTTGGAATGAAAAAGTGTTGCTGAATCTTCCTTCATCCTGTAGCTAATTTGTGCAAATGTATGTCTTATTTTAAAACATGGATTCATATCCCCCTGGCAATAATAACAAAGTTCAACCAGAGAGAAAACAGCAAACACTGGTGAGGGTTTGGAGAGAATGGAACTCTCATATGCTGCTAGTGGGACTTTGAAACTGGTACAGCCACTAGGAAAATGGTATGGTGCTTCCTTGAGAAGTTGGAAATGCCAGTTGATTTCAGCAATCCCACTACTAAGTATGTATCCTAAAGAAGTGAGAGCTGTGACATGAGTAGATATATGCATACCAACATTCATCACTCCCTGCATGTGATGAAGAAATGGATACAATTTAAGTGCCCATCAACATTTAAATGGATGAGCAAACTATGGTGTATACACATAATGGAATACTATACAATATTGAAGAATTTCTGAAAAACCTCATAACATAGATGAACTTGGAGGATATTATGCTGAGTGAAATATGTCAGTTACAGAGAGAAACATTACTTGAGTCCACTATTATACGAAGTCATGGAATGGTTTACACACAGAAGGAAACAGCGTTTGTTGGCTACCAGAGATGAAAGGGAAGGAGAGGGGAAATTGCTAGCTAGGTAAGATACACGTATTGATTTGGGTAAAAGAATGGCAATATACCAACAGCAGGTGACCAACACAATATTACTAATGAAAAGGAAGACACGGACAGGTGCACATGAGGTATAGACAACAAAGGTAAATACTATTACGTACATGATACTGCACTATCTGTAATAACAACCATGAATCTATAGGTACCTTAATAGGTAGACAGGCAAGATGATCAGGTATGGGAAAGTAAATTGGAATATACCAGTAACTGTATATAGATTTTGCAGAGAATATTTCTACATACATATTTGTATGGGCCATAAAAATGTCCATGTATATAATAGATGTAACAGGGGGCCAAATTATGATAACTTGTTGTTGTTAGGTGTCATTGAGTTGGTTCCTACTCATGGTGACCCTTTGTACAACCTCAAATTCCTTTTTATGCTTGAACCCACTGTTGCAGCCATTGTGTCAATCCATATCATTGGGGGGTGGGTCTTCCCCTTTTGCACTGACCCTTGATTTTACTGGCATGATATCCTTCTCCAGGGAATGGTCCCTTCTGAAAACATAACCAAAGTAGGTGAGACAAAACCTGGACATTCTTGCTTCTAAGGAGTGTTTTGGCTTCACTTACTCCAAGACAGATTTGTCTGTTTTTCCTGCAGTCCATGGTATTTTCAGTATTCTTTGTGAATGCTACAAATTGAAAGACATCAACTCTTCTTTGGTTTTCACCATTCATGGTCCATCTTTCACATACATATGAGGAGATTGAAAATACCATGGCTTGGGTTAGACCAAACTTATTCTTCAAAGTGATATCTTTGCTCTTTAAAACTTTAAAGAGATTCTTTTGCAGCAGATTTGCCCAGCACAATATGATTTCTTATTCTTGACTACTGCTTTCATGGGATTTGATTGTGAATCCAATAAAATGAAACCCCTGACATCATCAATCTTTCCCCATTTATTGTGATGCTGCTTACTGGTCTGGTTGTGAACATTTTCATTTTATGTTGAGGTGTAAGCCATTTTGAAGACTGTAGTCTTTGATCTTCATCAGTGAGTGCCTCAAGTCCTCTTCCCTTTTAGCAAGCAAGTTTGTATAATATGCATATCACAAGTTGTTAATGAGTCTTCCTCCAATCCTTATGCCATGTTCCTCTTCATATACTAGCTTATTGAATTATTTGTTCTGCACACAGATTGAATAATATGGTGAAAGGACACAACTGTAATGCACACCCTTCTTGATTTTAAGTCATGCATTATCCCCTGTTTTCTGTTCAAACAACAGTCTCCTGGTCTATCTATGCACAGGTTCCCCATGACCACAATTAAGTGTTCTGGAATTCCTATTCTTCACAACACTGAATCCACACAGTTGAATGCCTCTGCATTGTCAGTAAAACTCAGATAAACATCTTTCTGGTATTCTTTAGTTTCAGCCAAGATCCACCTGACGTCAGCAATAATATCCCTCATTCTATGTCCTCTTCTGAATCCAGCTTCAGTTTCTGGCAGCTGCATGTCAATATACTGGTGCAAACCTTTTTGAATTATTTTCAAGAAAATTTTATTTTTGTGTGATATTAATTATATTTTTGATACTTTCCACATTAATTGTGGTTACTGAAGTGGTTAATTGTGGATAATTAAATGTGGAGAATTTCCACACTTCATTGTGTTCATTAGGATTCTGTACATAGACATACAGTCTGACAAACTGACAGACAAGTAGTGGTTGAATAACCTAGAAGTCTCAGAATCAGTTGCTTTCAATGGATGCCTAGACAGAGATGCAGAATTGAAGAAATAGGTAAAAGGTAGGAAGGCTGTGCCTGAGATTATAAGTCGTATAGAACTGTATCCCATACAATCTAATATGACCTTCTGTCCTTTTGCCCTCATCCAAGACTTCTAAGCTTTTTCCTGACTTGTGATTACTGATAATGCTGGTAGTTGAATAATATGCTTATATATATATGAGTGTTCAAAAGCTATGGTAAGATATTCTTTTAATAAAATTTAGTAAAAAATGTACTTTTCAATTTAAAAAAAATCATATTAATGGGCAGAAACTGTGAAATTACACATTTGTCATTGCTGTTGTTAGGTGCCTTGGAGTCAGCTCTGACTCATAGCAACCCTATATTCAACAGAATGCAATTACACATTAATTACCTAAATACTTCCACTAAAAGCAAAAACAACTGATTGAGTTCTTTATACATTTATTTAACAGATAGGTTTGTACATGAGGCATGGTGCTACAGAATGGAAAATGAAAGCTAGAAAGAAAGATGAGCAAAGAATTCACCTTGGTTACAAAGATTTTTTATGTTAGTTTATTATATAATTGTGTCATATTTTCTATTAAATTTTGTATCTTCCTCGAAACAATTTAATGACAATAAAAGGCTTAATGAGTTTGTTGCATGGCATTCCCTAATGGGATTGACCTTTTCCCTAATCCCTCTTCAAGTCTTCCAGTAAAATAATCATCACACACACACACACACACAAACACATACATACTACCTTCTTTTGTTTTAAAAAAATCCAAGTACATAGTGAGTATCACTTCATTTACTTAATTTCTCAATGTGCCATTTGAGACCATACATTCTACATGACAATTTTCATCTCCGTATTTCTCAGGGTATGTTGCTGTTGTTATGTGCCGTCGAGTCGGACCCAGCTCATAGAGACCCTTCCTTGGGTTTCCGAGGGAGTATCACTACAGAAGTAGATTGCCCAACCTGCCTTCCAAGGAGTGGCTGGTGGGTTTGAACCGCCAGCCTTCTGGTTAGCAGTCAAGAGCCTTAGGCGCTGTGCTACCAGAGCTCAGGGTATAAGTGAAAGGATTCAGCATGGGGAAAATTACAGTGTAAAACACAGATTTCCTTATCCTTGTCCTCATTTTCAGCAGGTAGAACGAAAGTACAACTAATATATGAGAGCT